TAGATATAGTTGATATTTTATGCATTGCTAAACAAAGAAGCAGTAGTTCACTTACATTGAAAATTGGAAATAGAAGAATAAAAAGTGTGTATGTTAGAGAAAGAAAGATGAAATAAAAAATGTATTCTTTAAATAATAAAGTTTGACAATTACATATAGAAATGTTCTTCCATGTAATGTCACAATAATTATTTCAATTTTGTTTAATATTTGCTAAAATACTATTAGAAACTATTCTGAAATAATGCAAAATATAAGGATCAGATTCGCAATGATTGCTAGCCACACATGCATTTGATTCATTTTCTGCGGCCGTTTATTCATTAAAATTGCAGAATAGAATAATAGTCAACATGTCAATTACTAAGCAAGCATGTTTATGCAGCAGTTTGCAGCAAATAAAATTAGTAAATGTATCAAAATAATTATGTATAAAGAGAAATATTGACGAGCGTATCGAATACAGTTTATAACAATTTTAATCGAAATTAAACGATAGATGTTGATTATACATATACATATATCCTCATACATTTTCTATTAATGTCGTCGATTAAGAATCAATGTGTATTTTTATATACAGGGTGTATCCTAAAAAGTGGGAAGTATTGCAATGAGAGATTCAGGACACAAAAATAAGAGAAAAAGTTCATATAAACATATGTCCGATATGATCGTGTTTTCAAGTTATAGCTTGTTTTATTTTTCAATAGAATTAAAGTCTTAACTCTATTGGAAAATAAAACAAGCTATAATTTGAAAAGAAGGTCATATTGGACATATGTTTATATGAACTTTTTCTCTTATTTTTGTGTCCTGAATCCCCCATTGCAATACTTCCCACTTTTTAGGATACACCCTGTATAATTTACATTATTCTATTTTTATATTTTTCTGCAAAATTGGACCAATTAATATTATGACTAGTTAAAATTCTATGTATAATATAATTTGAAAAAATTGTGCAAAATTAAAATATTCCTGCAGATTAATATAGTAGTGAAATGTTCCCAATCTTATAAAGAACTTTTTGTTTTTAGAAATGTACGTATAGACACAAATATATATATATATATATATATATATATATATATATATATATATATATATAATCGATCTTGCCTTGATAATCAACATTAGATATACAGGGTGTCCTAGACCACTCGTACACCCCTTTTCTTTCAAAAACTAAGAATTTTAGATAAAAACGTTTTGAACAAAAATTGTATGGTTTTGAGGGGAACATAAGATGGTGTCATTGGTTTGACCTTGGATGGCATCGTTAAGGTCAAGTCAAGGACACCTTAAATTTCTTAAATGGAATCCCCTATTTTTGAAAAAATACTTAATGAAAAAATACTTTATTATAGTGTTTTGAAAAGGTCTCAAGAAAGGTTATAAGAATACACAATAAAAAAAAGGGTTTTATTTAAAAAAATCAAGTTGACCTTGGAATAACTCTCTGGACTTTAATCCAAGGTCAAATAAAGATCACCATCAGATGACTCCCTTAATATCAAACCACTTTTGTCTGAAACTTAAGAGCTCTGAAATATTTCAGTGGATTGATTAAAATGGCCCACCCTGTATATACATATAGCGATAAGTAGATAGATAAGTACATAGATAGGCAGAGAGAGGGA